ACACACACACACACACACACACACACACACACACACACACACACACACACCCACCCACCCTTGTTCTTGCATCAAACTGAGGACTTTGTATTGTCTTCCATTTATTTTTGTAACTATATTATGCCTAACCCAGACATTTTCCCTAAAACTAACCATTACCAGTCTATTCCTAAACCTAATCTTAAACAAAACTTAATTCACACCATACCTCTAAACCGAACTAGTAGAATGCATTAGAGCTGCAAATTAAATGAGGACTGGGAAAATGTCCTCACTTCCCAAAAAATGTCCTCACTTTGTTGGTAAAAACCTAACATGGTTCTTTCTCTGTAGCAGAAAACAGTACACACACACACCTGTGCTCTCTGCCACCTCCCAGGTTGAGAACCACTACTGTGGATTATTAATTTAGGAAGCTCATTATGCTAGTTATTAGCCCTTTCAGCTGTTTGTCTTTAGCTAGCTGTTTAACTTCCTCGATAATGGGGTTTTAAAACCTTTCTCAAAGGAGCTTGTCTGTTAAAACTAACTTAATTTCCCCAAAATTAATGTTTTTTCCCCTTATAAAATATCTTTAGTTATGTAGCATTATTTACARTATAAGACACAAGAACATTTGATTTGCTTAAATCTCATTTTTGATTACTTTCTTTGCATCATAGCGTTAACTTGCAGTGGTTAAACGCTGTAGGAAGGTTTCATCTTTGAATCTTTTACAGCTGTGCATTTTTTTTTCTGTTTGGGATGAGTTTTGTGTACGTGTTGTGTGGGACRAAGCAAACATTTCTGTGGCTGAGGACGTGATGACACAGTCATCTCAGTGAGCGGTGAAAGGTCAGCACAGAGAGCAGAAAAACCCACACCAGCAGGAGAAAAAAAAAAAAAACGACAAAAAACGCTGTGTGTATGTTTGGTTCCAGATGAGTTCAAGTACCTTTGCTCTGACTTTAGGTTTAGAAGATACTCTTTTTATTTTTTTCATACAAAAGCAACTCATTGGACATTTAAATGTAAATGTCTGAAAGCACAGAAAAATAATTCGAGCTGTTTTTTTAGATTTTGTAGCACGACTCCCTGTGGGAGTAAGTGCAGTAGTCAAGCTGTAGCTTGTTTATGGCTTTATGTGTGGTTGTTACTGCAATTATAGCTTTACTCTGAATGGTTTTGTGTGTGTGTGTGTGTGTGTGTGTGTGTGTGTGTGTGTGTGTGTGTGTGGTCCCCACATGAGTTAAATTTCATGTTCATACATACAGTATAATAGTGTGTGGGAATTCAAACTAGCGTTCCTGTGCTGTCACGCAGTAAATATGTAATTTTTTTAACAGTCTGCAATGGAGTTTTTCACTCCCACCCCCTATTTGTCCTTCATAAATATTTACGGTTTGATTTAGTGTTCTTCACAAACACGTTAACTTTCATAAAAAAACCTAAATGAATCAGTTCTAGACTAGTGAATTTTATAAAGTCACCAGCTATTGACAAAAAATAAAAAATAAAAATTGAATTTTCGTCACAAGCATGCACAGTTCTCTCAATAAAATTATATTAAACGTAAGTAAATGGTTTAGAAGTGCATAAACAAAACATTATATAGCAGCAGTAGCTCATAATTTGTGTTTTCAGGACAGTAATTTAGCACATTTTTCTAAAGAGGGTGCTGAAGTATAGAGAGTACGGCTTGATGACACAAAGCATGAGTCAGGGTTAAARGAGTAATAGTGGGTTAGTGGAGCAAACTTCTGCATGATAATAGTGAGTTAACTGTGTTAAAATGCGAACTAAGGATACTTATTACCCACATAAGTGTTTAATGACACACTGACACATGCGTTAAAACACTCACACACGTTCCAAGGGCTTGAAGTGCCTTAAATGGGCTTACAGTGGCTTTGAGACCCTGGTGTTACAGCGCTGGCTGGCTCATAGCGACAGTCCACACCTCTCCTCCTATCTGTTTGTATTAACAGGATCACAGATTTTACACCGCTAAGACCTTTTTTCCCAGCTTTGCTTAAACTGTGTAAACCTGACTATGAAGAAGAAAGTTGTTACAGCATCTAAGGGATTTTGGTGGTCTGTTCCTGCCCTTAAGAAAACTCTCTTTTTGATTTTAGATGACGTTCCTTGTTGTTTCTGTGTGTGTCCTTGTGTTTGTGTTTGCAGCCATGCAGCAGGTGGAGAACGCCAGTGAGCCGCCCACCTCCGCAGGCGCCAAAGACATCGACCTGCTTTTCCTGCGTGGAATCATGGAAAGTCCCATTGTACGCGTCCCTGCTGTGGTAGCGCACACACACACACACACACACACACACACACACACATACACACACACATACGTTGCTCAGGGAGAGCAGCAGTGGGCAGAACGGTTAGCTTAGAGCTGAGGTGCTTAATCACAGCAAGGCTTCGATCAACACGTGCAGGAGAGTGGAGAGGAGTTGGTGCAAACGTAAAATTATCCAATGACCTCTTCCAGACAGGTTTTTGTCATTTTCCACCGTGYAATTGTTCCCTTCAGGGCTGAAAGTTGTGGAAATAAGAGGTTATTTTTCTTCCACTGCAGCTCATGGGATACAGTGGTTTATTTGCTTCAATCCAGCAATAGTCACCATCCCTAAGGAGCTAAATTAGGGCCATAAAGTTGATTCAAAAAAAGGTTTTCTTTGAAACGGAAAGTAAAATTTTGAAACCAAAAAAAAGAGCTTGAAACAGAAAAATAAATTGAAAAGGAAAATAATTATTTGAAACTAAAAGAAAAGGATTTGAAACTATAAAAATAAAGATTTGGAGCTGAAAAAGGGATTTGAACTTTAGGGATTTAAAACTGGAAAAAATATTTTGAAATTAGAAAAATAAAGATC